TTTTTAGTTCTAGACGCTCTATCTTTTTTTGTCGTATTACCGACTTCCGGTTTCGACCGAAAGTGCGGTTAACTGACCAAAATTCCATCGTGCAAATGGGATATACATTTTTTTTTGCCACAGGTTCGGACTCTGCGCATAAAAAAACACTTAACTTTTGTTTGAAACTTTTTCCTCGGAAGTGCCTGTACCATCTCTCCTGACTTGGGGATTCATATTTATTTGTCTTCCTTTTAAAACATTTCGGTCATTTAGAGGTTTAAAAAGGCACTTCCGAGAAAAATGTTTCAAACAAAAGTTACGCATTTGTGTCCACAGAATACGAATCTGTGATAAAGGTATGTATATCCCATTTATAAAAATGGACTTCCGGCCAGTTTAACCCATTTCCGTTCGAAATCCTTCCTATATAGTTTGCTGATTCCGAAAATAGAATTAATTTTTTATTCTATGGAGGCTCCCCCCTCCTCCGGAACACCTACAGTTTTTTGACTTATTTAGAAAATCTTTAATTATATATGTATATTGAGTTAGTGGATTGTCTATTAATATGTTAATTAATTTTATTTTATATTTTAGTCCGACTTATTATTAAGGCGTGTTTTTTTTTAGTTTTCGTTTTATATACATATAATTAAATTATTTTGTTTGTATTGTTCTTTCTTTGCCGCATTTCACTATTGCTCTTATAAGCGAACTATTCGATATATTTTTATTGTATACATATACAATCAGTATGACGAATGCGGTTAGAAATGTGTACGCGCTAGACTAAACGAAGAAAGATAAATGCTTTTCTACCGCATGTCGGCCGGACAGACGATAAGGCAAGGCAGACAGCTAGGCAATGCGCCAAAGACTGGCGTAACACGGGGCGACATGTTCAAATAGCATACACAATGACATTATAGAGTTCTTTCACGCTGTTGTGGGTTGTTCCTCCTTCTTTTCACTTACTACTCATACCCTACAACCCTTTGATTCTGCTTTAGCTATTGTTGCCTGTTATTGGCTTTGAATTTCATTTGAATTTAATCACATTTGACTTTATGACGTACTTTCCCATCACACATCGTGTTCACGCTCTCTTATTTCATCTATCAGTCTCCCATTCTAGCTCGCTCGTTCGGCACTTCCATGCCACTACCATTAAATTGTCATCGGACAACAACGATTAGTGGTTACAAAATTTATTGATCACATTAAAAAATTGTGTGTTTGCATTTTTCATTGATTTACTTTACATTATTCAACTATTATTTAGCAATTTATTTGTGTTGTTTTGTTTAGCCAAGCGCACTGTGGGAACCGCATTTTAGTGAAATGTCCATTGATAGCTATTGATTGACATTTGGGCCACGTGTATTGTGTTTATATGTTAAAAAGTGCATATGCAATGAGTTGTCGAAGTAGCCGCACAACAAAAAAGTAAATAAATTACTCTATTCTGAATATGCATATGTAGATACATACATATGTATGTGCTATGTAATGTGGGACCATTAATATCAAACACACTCTTATATTTGTGTAATTTCGTTTTTTTCGAGTTTTTATTTATTTAATACAACCCCTGTCGTCCTCTCTTATCGCCCTCATTTGGCTTCCGCTTGTGGATAGTCACATAATAGCGATAACAGTGCGATAGCAGGTGGTTTTTTTACAGTGCTTGAGAAATAATAAAGCAAGTTGCGGTAACTTCTTTCGAAACAATTCAACTAAGTAATTTCGTATCTTTTCTTTATATTTAAATTAAAAAAACGAAAGAAGTATCTTATCAGTGTTCCGGTTAAAAGCAGCAAATTAGTTCAGTGGAAAAATTTTTTAATTAGAATTGTCTGCGTTGGGAACCCCCGTTGTTAGCACTTGTAATATATTTGTTGTGTGAAAATGATTTAAAAAAATAAAAATTTAAAAAGCTTGCTGTAACTGAATTACTTTACATTTCCACTCTAGTTTAGTTCCAGAATTATTTTAACTGCCCAAACATGAATGAAAGTTCAGCATTGTTCGATTCCAAAAGGCATAGTCAGAGGCAGCGTTGAGCCGGATCAACTTGTTAATTCGGAATTATCTCGATAATTAACTGCGGTTGGTCACGATTAAGTCCTACAGCTAACTCTCAAACTTAAGGCGGATCAGAGGCATTTTCGATGACAAGACTGACCAAAGCATAAAGAACGTAGAATACGTAGAACATACAAAATTAGCCTGGGCATTCGCCGCACTAATTCAGATAGAAATCCAATTGAAATAGAGAAAAAACTTATTTGAATTAGTATGCTGAATGCACAATAGGGTGGCAAAAAAAAAAAGGATTCTTCTATACCGAAATAATGCACCCCTCTTTTTTATTTTTAAATCAAAAAGTATTTAGAGGTAGCTCAAAGCACTCAAAGCTTTCCCCACGATTCTTATCCTATCCATAAGGGCAAAAACCAAGTCACATTTGAAAGGAAAACAACTACAGTGGAAAGCAAAGCTGAGTGCGTGGTGATTCTGGTTAAATAATTGTAAGGTTTTTAAGGTTATTTTTTTCTAAAATAATTTTTTAAACTTTATAAAGAGCTTAAAAGAAAGTCAATAAATTTTCATCAAAATGTTTAACTTTTTAATTTGAATAGAAAATGTTTGGGTATGTATACAGTTTTAAAGTTTTGTTAAATTTTTGTACCGCACTTTTTGGGCAGCTAAAAAATCGCGTTGATTTCTAATTTTTTTTTTTGCGGAGGGTTTTATGCACTTTTTTCTATATAAGAAGAACATTTACAAGACCGTTTCCAATCAAAAACTGGTAGTGAGTCATTGGAGATCTTCATAAACTCCAAGATCTCCTGTGGATTTGAGGGTTCCTCCGGGACCCATGCCCTAGCTCTCGGCTTGCTGTGCACTGCCACTAAGTCAGCGCCGGGCCACAGTTCACCAAGAGTTCAGCAGCCCTGCTGGGTGTAACCCCTTTTTTTGGTCTCTGAACCACTGGGACGAGAGTTGGTACTCATCTTGCCCGTGCAGGGCTCCCGGACGTCAGTAACGCCCCCATATGGAGCTGCCCTGAACGGGTATGCTCATAGCCGCCCTTGATGAAGACGCCTAACACGAGAGGGCGATCGACTGTGAAGGCTTCGTTGGCGCCACTTAGGTGCTACACTCAGAAGGCCGCCTACGCAGAAAGGTGTTCAGCCCCCCCTCTTCTTCGGCAACACAGAAAGAAGAATTCTACTCAGTGAGGGTTATAATCCCTATGCGCGCCCGAGGAGGAGGAAATAGTAAAATCTCCGCAATGTAACAATGACCACGGGATGAGTGATCTCTTCTATATTATGGTGGAACCACGCTGCCTTCTGAGTAACAAGGGCTTCGATGTGCAGGGTAGGCAAAATGTGTGTAATTTTAGTTCAGAGGATATTTATGCGCTGCGTGAGGTATAAAGATGAAAAGCACTATCTAAGGCTAATTTAAGTATGCATAATTCTACATTTAACCCAGCAAATACCACAAAAGCAATGTCTCCAAACTTTTGACAAATTTCTGATTACACTGGTTTACAGCAAAACTGTACTATGGATGCCACTATTCAATTCCTATGTTGAATTGCTCGGTGATTCCGAAAATCGAGATAATTTTGTTTCTATACATCAGTTTTCGATAGTCCTGAAAGTTTCCTAGAAACTAATTAATCATATCTGACACCTCTTTTTTTCGATGCAAACATTCTACTTACTCAGGTGTACGTGGCGTATAAGTAACACTGTTTTCTGCTCATATTTCGTACAATAAATCCTTGCGCATTTTCATTTGACTAATCATTATTCATTATTTTCGTCGTTGGTAGCTTAATTTTTTTCTGAAGGAACAGGTTTTAACCAAAGTGCAAAACATTTACACAGAAACTGTTATTTTTTAGTTTTTTACCTGTTAAAATTTGATTTTTTCATAAAAACAAAAAAAACTTGGAATGATGAACTAATTGCAAATACATATCTCGAAAACGTATCCATACAAAAAATAATAAAAAATACTCGATTTTCGCGAGATCAGCGAGCGATCCTACATACAAATTGGATAGTGGCGTCTGGAGAACAAAAACAAAATTAAAATTTGTGATCCAGTGTTATGAAACTGAATTAAAATTTGGAAAATCTTTTAAAATTACTCACCGGCTCTTTCTGCTTGCACTGCGAAGTGATTCAGTGGAAGTAAATTTGTATTTCACATCTAATTCATCGTTAATTTTTTTTTCGATGCACTGCTATTTTATTCCTTAACTCTCGCTTTGAATACGATCAGTACAAATCCCATAATAATGTGCGAACATCATTTTGCATTCTCTCACCTCACCCCACTTCAGCGTTCGCTTTTGTCATACATATATACATACATACATATATATTGGCATAGAATTTTAGAGTATATTTAGTTGCTAATGTTGTAGTTAAATAAATGCATATGTACATATGTACCTACCTGTAAATCGCAGTCAAAAAACTGGCTTACTTAAGTATGTACACACTTACACAGACATATACTTAAAAATCAATAAAACAATAAACAAATCTTAAATCAAAGTACAAAGACCAATAGCGGCATCTTTTTTCTCTTCCATTCTCCTCTCTTCCAGGAGTTGCATTCTTCGATAAGCAAGAGGGGATACTGACCTTCTGTCTGACATCGAGAGGCACTGTTTCGACGACAACTAAAACATTCTTGCCTAGTGAAACCGCCGCTGAGCCCGAGATAAGTGCAGATACGCCAGCCTATTATAGAACGCGAGACGAAGACGACGACGCTTCAATAAACAATAACTGCAAGCAAATACACGACGCAAACAAATCTGAAGCAGCTAGCGCAGTTGTAGTATTGCAACAGCCAACAGTAAGTAAATCGACTACAACCACAGAAGTTACGAAATCGGTAGCGAACAACAACGGCACAATCAACACTTTAACGCCAACACGCACAGAGCACGATTTGCGTTCGTTGGAAAACCAGTGTCTCACAGCGTCTGGTTTTGTACAGAAGGCCCTTAAAGTAAACCCAGGTGACTCACAGAGATCGGCCCCTCCCATAAGCACACAGAACAATCAGAGCAAAGCACTACTAATGGCATCCAGCGCTAATTTGAATAGTACAGGTGCTGCGGCGGCACACCCAACGACGTCCGAGAAACAGCCTTGGCCCAATACGAAGGATGACTACGAATTGCGCGATGTGATCGGCGTTGGCGCGACTGCTGTCGTGCATGCCGCACTATGCCTGCCACGTAACGAGAAATGCGCCATCAAGCGCATCAATCTGGAGAAGTGGAACACTTCTATGGATGAATTGCTCAAAGAGATACAGGCGATGTCGTCCTGCAATCACGAAAATGTCGTAACCTATTACACATCGTTTGTGGTGCGCGAGGAGTTGTGGCTGGTGTTGCGTCTGCTCGAGGGCGGCTCACTGCTGGACATTATCAAACACAAAATGCGCACTTCGAATTGCAAGCATGGCGTCTTCGATGAAGCGACCATCGCTACAGTTTTGAAAGAGGTACTCAAAGGTCTTGAGTATTTCCACTCGAACGGACAGATACATCGTGACATCAAGGCGGGTAATATACTGATTGGTGATGATGGTACTATACAAATTGCTGACTTTGGCGTTAGCGCTTGGCTAGCAACCGGACGTGATCTGTCGCGCCAGAAGGTGCGTCACACGTTCGTGGGCACACCATGTTGGATGGCGCCCGAGGTCATGGAACAGGATCATGGCTATGACTTTAAAGCCGACATTTGGTCATTTGGCATCACCGCTATCGAAATGGCAACTGGCACCGCACCCTACCACAAGTATCCACCCATGAAGGTGTTGATGCTGACGTTGCAGAACGACCCGCCCACACTGGACACCGGCGCTGATGAGAAGGATCAATACAAGGCATACGGCAAGACATTCCGAAAAATGATTGTTGAGTGTCTGCAAAAGGAGCCCTCGAAGCGACCCACCGCCAGTGAACTGCTGAAGAATGCCTTCTTCAAGAAGGCCAAAGATCGTAAATATCTCACGCAAACACTGCTCGCCACTGGTCCATCTATGGAGACGCGCGTACACAAAGCCGCGAAACGGCAACCGGGCGCCTCCGGTCGACTACATCGCACCGTCACCGGCGAATGGGTGTGGTCGAGTGAAGAGGAAGACAACGGCGGCAAGCATCACTCCTCAGACTCAGAATCTGACGATCGACCCATCAATCGTCTCGAACATGCCGACTCATCAGATAGCGAACATGATGACTACTCGGAGACTACAGCAACCGCAACGGAACCTGCACCGCAATCCGCAATCGTGAATGCACCAACAACAACAACAACAGCAGCTGTGAATATACCAACAACAGCAACAGCCGCTGTAAATATACCAACAACAGCAACAGCAGCGGTTAATATACCAACGCCTGCTGCAGCTTACGCACAGCCAGCAGATTCTGCGATAGCACAAGCCATGGCCGGAGTGGCGCAAATGCCGATGCCCTCATCGTTGGTGCCAGATGTCGGTGAGGCACCGCCGGTCAATCTTGTGCTGCGCATGCGCAACCAGCGACGCGAATTACACGATATACGCTTTGAGTTTGCAGTAGGCAAAGACTCTGCCGAAGGCATTGCCATGGAGTTGGTCGACGCCGGACTCGTCGACGCGTTGGACACGCAACCAATGGCTGTGCATCTGCAACAACTGATTGACCAACGCGCCGCGCTCAAAACTATCACGTTCCAATTGAACTCTGGCGTGCAGCCGGGTGAAGTGCTCGACGATCGCTCACTGGTGGGGTATGCACAGATATCGATAACAGATTAGGAGGAACCGGGGGTGAACGAATCAGCGGAAAGTGACGTTAAAGACACAAAAAACTATTAGCGTGTGCGTGGAGTTTGTTTCACTCTGCAGTTTAATGGGGTTAAATTTATATTTTTGTAATCACTTCAATAGTGGAGTAAACTGTAGTTTTAAATTAAAAAAAAATATAAAAAATTTTAGACTTTTGCCAAACACTGAAAAGCCAGCGCATAGCGTAGGAAAATTAATAATTTTAAAATTTAAAATAAATTATATAAAATTTAAAAAATTTTGGGCATAAAACTATTCAGCTGATTAGTTAAGCGCTTTGTTTGCAAACAGAAAAATTGCAGGATAGGGATGCGCAAAGTAGTGAACACACAGAGTGAAGAAGAAAATTGAAAGTACTTACGATTACATGTTTGCGATACTTGTAATTATTTATTGAATTGTATTTTTATTTTTTTTTAATTAGGGTAAAGCGCCGTTCTTATGCAGCCACCTAAAAGTAATGGGAGCTGGAAAAAATACTAGCTGTAGCCTTTAAATGGTATAACTTTAATTAGAAGTTTAGTTTGCGGTAAAGCTTGGTAGAGCGTGCTTATTTGTATGTGTATGTATGCCACAAAAAAATAAATAAATAAAAGAAAATCTGTATTCACTCCGTTAAAAAGGTTTTTTAAAAATATATTGCAATGTTTTTTTTCTTGAAAACCAGCGCCTCTCAAATGGAGTAAAAATTGCGCTTTTGCAAGTAAATGTACTACGTTTACAAAATTATAAGTAAGTTTAAAAAAAAAAAAAATATTGTTAAATTACTGTTAGTTTGAAAATGTATTTAATGTAATAATTGTGAACGTAGCCTTAGTCATTTAGTGAGTTGTATGCGAACATTCATGATTTACAAATGTACATATATGTACATATGTACGTATGCATATGCTTATATGTACATACAACCATATGTTAATTAACAGTATAAAGTGGAATTAACTGCATAATATGCAAAGCAACGAAGGAAGATTCATAAATTGTAACAACTGTTATCAGCTGCAAGCCACATCCATACATAATGCTTTCACACGATGGCGCCTAAAAACGTGCTATGTCAACAAGTTCGCGAAATGTAGAAGGACGGAAGGGAAGTGGCTTTATTTTGGGTATATTTTTGAAAGCTGTGTCAGCTGATGCATTAAAACCTAAAGAAGATAATTTTATTGATTTTCAAACACAAAAATTAAATAGTAGCTACGCAGAAAAATAAAGGAAAAGCCTTAAAAACGACAATTTTAAAAATCTCAAAAACCTTTTTTTAAAAAAATCATCAAATGCCCTACACATTAAATAGGGTGAAATAACAATAATTACTTACGATGCCTCAAAATTATTTATTTAAAATTAAAAAAAAAAAATATCACATAAAACAAAATTTAAATATAATCGCATGATACTTTTCAAAACAATAATTAAATTTAGTGTTTGTTTGTACTCATTCGTCTGAATGCAACATTTGAAAACTTGTAAGCATTGCAGCTCTGGCTAGCGAATCGATTATATGTACGTACATACATACATACATACATACAACAAACATATGTAGATATAGAGCAAGTGAACGTATGCAACTAATAATGAAATACATAATAAACTGCAAATGATTAAAAACTATTTAAATACAACAATTTAAGTATTAACAAAATAAATAAATTAAGATACACAATTAAACAATTTTAAAATATCACTAAAAATAAAATATTATAAAACCAAAATACTTAAAAAATATACACTCCCACAACATTTAGGCATTTTTGTTCCAATTAAAAATTGCAATAGGACTAGTAATTAGATATTATACAAATGCAACTACATACATATGTGCAAATATGTGCATATGTATTCCTCATAACACAGACATGCATACATACATACATTCAGTTGCTGCAATTATAACCTAAAAAATGTTCAATAGTTTGTAAATAATTTTAGCGAACTCCGTTAAAAAAAAAAATAGATGCATAAAATGCGCTTCGAAAACTATATTAAAAATTTATATTTAAAAAACGCATATCTTGTTTTTTGTTTAATTTTCACGTCACATTTTTTAATGTTTATATGCTGACCATGGCGCAATAAACAGGTGAAGTAATAAAACGGCTTTCTCACTTTATTTTCAGACATTCCGATGCCTTATAGTCAAATTTTAAAGGCAATTTTTCAAATAAGGCAGTGTCAAAATCTTTCTTCTCGCTCTAATTACTTCACCTGGTATAATTCCGCCATGTATGCTGACTACGCACGGAGCAACCGTTGCGACAACCAACATAGAGCCTGTTCGAATAGATCTCCAGTGAAAAATATCCAGCAGAAACTTGCAGGAGAGTAACGAGCGATTTTCTCTCGAATTTGAAAATATTCAAAAAAAAAAGTACGCGGACGCAAAATTAGAAAAAACTTGCATTGCAAGTTGTTAGTACAGCTGATTGAAATTTTGTTTAAGGCCAGTATGCAGCTCTCAAGAAAACATTTTCGATCAAATTTTAAAAGCTGCCACTACATACATATGTACATAAATAACATGTATCAAAATTTGTAATACGCGAAAAATTCAAGTATCGTCCGGAAATTTGCACAAACACGTATCACTTTTGAATTATATTGATCAAAACGGCAACACTGCTCATGAGCTACTGAAATTTTATGCACCTCATAGTTGAGGCCGCTGTGGTGTAGTGGTAAGCAGTGCGCACTTCCACTCCGCAGCGCCTGGGTTCAAGCCCTGGTCAAAGCAACATCGCAAAAATAAATTTTAATAAAAGGTTTTTTCGTAACAGCGGTTGCCCCTCGGTAGGCAATGGCAAACCTCCGAGTGTATATCTGCCATGAAAAACAGCTTCTCAGAAAAATACAATCGCCGTTCGGAGTCGGCGCAAACTGTAGGTCCCTCCACTTTATGTGAAAACATCAAGGCGCACGCCACAAATCGGAGTAGAAGCTCGGCCAAACACTAACATATGTGTAAGCGCCAATCTATTATTATTATAGTTGTCAAAAATTTACTCGCCGCGAACTTTGCTACCGATTCCCACATGCTCTTTATATAAATTCACGAATATTAAAAAAAAAAAAATAAAAATTCATCAAAATTAAAATTTTTTTTGTTCAGAATTTTTAGAAAACTTTGTTTCAGTTTCAGTACAACAAAATGTAAGTTTCAAGTCGCTAAAACTAACGTTTTTTTTTTTTATAAGTACTATCGTTGGCTGAGTTGCCTATCTCGGCAGCCACTTCAAAAATACTCTATCTCAAAAAACTTTTGAAGAACAGAATTTGATTGAAGAACGCCCTACTTCAGAATTTTATTGAAAAACGCCCAATCTCAAAATTTGGTTGAAGACTGCAGAGTTCGTTTAAAAAATGTCCTAAAATATATTGAAAATGTGCTGAGATAGGGCGTTTTTGAACTGAATTCTGAGATAGGGCGCTGTTGGGAAATTTCTGAGATAGAGCGTTATCGAACTGGCTGCCGAGATAGATCGATCTTCCACTCAGCCATCGATATATGTTTTATGAGCTATATTTTCTTAAAAAATTAATGAAGACAGTGTTTCAAATTTCCAATGTTTTTCAAGTGTACGTCAATTGGAAAACCAAGCCAATCTCAAACAAAAGGGAACATATTTTGTATGCAAAAAAATTTGTGGAAAAATGGTTGAGAAAAATATTATACATTCACTTGCCAATCAAGAGTTTTTTTGCTAACACCAGGCGCCTAAATACATGCTATGTACTGCTGCACGTGCGAAAATTTCCTTTATGCAATTTATGAAATTCTCAACTGCCATGTAATTGAACTTTCTTAAGTTTTAATTTAATGTCACTTCAAAGTATGCTCGGCCTAGTCTGATGGCCCCGTCAGAATGGGTACTTTACGTACGTTCCGCCCAAGGATGAAACTAACAGTTGAGTAGAGAGCGTCAGATTGGTAACCCTTGCGTCGACGGACCCAACGAACGTTGGCCAACACTCAACTTTTGACGCACGTAAGTCCGTCACTACTGACAGTTGTATAACCCCGCGTTTACAACCAATGAGAATATGCACATAATTTACACATTGTTTGAGTAAAGTAGGCATCCAGACCAGTGTTGATATTTTAAGTACAATTGTACTTTTTTCAGTACAATTAGTTTTAGAAAGTACAAAAGTACAATTAACCGATTTTAAGTACAATTTCAACATCAAAAATACTTTTTGTACAAAACGCTGCAATCTCTGTCACTTTGATTATTAATCCGTTTGCGTTTAAGTAATATGTCCTACATTTCATATTTGGTACAAAACGAAGTTCTGAATTGTAATTTTGAAAGTAATTGTGAATAGTAATATTAGTGTTGAGTGTTGTGGTTATTGCGATTCTTTTTATCATCTTTGGAAATGCAGTTTACCTAATGACGATCCTGCCGAAAATGAAGGAATTGAATAACTCTACTCTCTAAAAATATATACTGTTGACTTCCATTTTAGTGTTACTGATCTCATTTTATGTGATTTATTTTCCCTAATATAAACTGATCTATCTTCTGTATTTATTTTTTGTCGTTATTTTCCTCATATTTGAATATATATGCATCTCGCGATAAAATTATACGATTACCCGGGTTGGGCTATTTTTTATATTTTTTCCGATTGATTTAAATTTTTTTTATATATAATTTTTGGAATAAAATTTTAGAATTTGTTTGTGGCTTTATGGGCTAGTTGGAGAGATCGCAATGATAAGTTAGGTTAAATTAAGTCTACACCAACTTAAGCTGTACAATGAACTAAAAGATAAGCTCAAAAAGTTACAGTTGTTGTCGTTGATTTTCTACAATTTAAGAACCTCAACTAAATATCAATACTGATCCAGACAATAAACTGGGCTCGAATCGTCACATACGATATCGTACTGCTCGTCACGTAAAAACACATTTTTTCATTCAGCTTATACTGCCTGACGTATCACGTAATTTTCTTTCGTATCGTTTTCGAACCGTGAACGGATGTTACGATTCGAGCCCTGTCTTCGTAAAGCCAGAGTCAATTTATGAAGACATCAAGAGAAACTGGAATATATAGTAAAAAAAATTTGAATGTTTTGCTATTGTATCTGAAAAATTTACTTGTGTAAGCCCCAAGTACGCGGCCATAAGGAACAGCTGATTTTTGTTTGCAGACGCAACACCTTCATTGTGGCGTATCTCTACGGTACGTACGTCACTTCCTTCGCATACTTTTGCGTTATTGACGTACAAGTACCCATTCTGACGAGCCTATGATGCATCCTCCGGACACTGCTTCCGGAGCATTTTGTGGATTCTGCATGGCTTACAACCATGAAGAGGTGGTAAACGAACTTTAACATGGACCGCAGTGCCTACCCACCATTTTTGCACCAATACACCCCCCCTCACTGAGTTATTCATGGCGATTACAAAACTTAAATAATATTGAAATGATGAAAGTGATCATAAAGAATTGAGGAATAATCATCAATCTTCTGTGCCATAGAAGTAGCTCTGAGTCATTACAAGAACATCTGTTTCCTTCTTTCCATAATCAGAATAATCAGAAGGAACATAAAATTCTTTTGTTCCAAATCTAATTTGGTTTTCATTTTTTACTCTCTTTGCTATATTTTCCTTTACTTTCGCCAACTTTGCCATTATCTTACTCATCTCTTGCCTTCCCTCTCCTAGTTCTGCGCTTGTTTCCCTAAGACTTTTAAACAAATCGCTCTCAATGGACAGACACTCTTTGAACAAAATAACCAGAAAAAGGAGCAGCCCTTGAAATCTTCCCCTTGCCTCCAGTTAAATAATCATTTTGCGAAGCACAAGCAAGCTTGCATATCATTTGGAACTTTATTAATGAAAACGCTTGGCCAGTTTTCCCTACAATACCCTTTTTCATGAATTGAGTCCCCATTTGGCGTCGTGTTTTTGAAACGCATGACCTGTCATTCAGTGTAGTAATCCGAGATCTTCCCTTTGTGTTCCCCATTCTGAGTGGAAGACAAATTCCTTTGCAGTGCTTACCGTTATCTCAGGTGCTCGTCTTACATATGTATGAGTTATTCACTTATGTATGTACTGGGATCTAGGTGTTTAGGCTTTAAAGGAGTGGCGATAAAAGAGCATCAAGCCAAGCATCGATTACAAACGTATGTACATATGTACATGTTTCAATATGTATAATCTTGGGTTTGGAGCTTTATTTTTCCTCCTACGTGTTTCGCCGCTAGGAAATTTACGACTTCGTAAAACGGATTCAGTGCGTAAACTTGCACGAAGGACAAATCTGAAATAAAAACATTTAAATAGAATAATTTGTAAAGAAAATATTCAGAATTTCCCTATGAAATATACATTTTTTTTTTTAACTTTATTTTGCAATTTTTGTTAAATCAGGTGCGTTCATCTAACTTGGGGTAGTTTTGCGAAGAAATTGACAGTACAATCGCACTTCTCCCAGTGTCTCGTCACGGTATTTTGTAATTTTTCAAAGACTGTAAATTGTACAATTCGCCAATGTTGCGTTATAGTGGCGAAAAAGTGGCAAAACATAATCGGAAAACCCCCCCACACAATTAGGAAAAATTTGTTCTAGTTTGGATATGGAGAGAACAAATAATGCTAAAGCCTACTTTACGCAACAATTTGGCAACACTCTCGACGAAAAGAAATTCTAAAAAATCAAGGGTAATTTTTAGTGACTTGAAACTCATACTTTATTTTAGTAAAATTCAATGGGCTACACAACTGTATATTCAAAAACGTTTGTGGAAACCTTGAAACTTTTATTTATGTGGTTTATGTTACAGATTGATATTTACAAAAAAAATTAAAATACGCATATATAAAATACTATTTCATTGATCGCTACTGTACACATCGTCGCCTGGATAAAAGATTGCCGTATGGGCGCGTTTTGGGAAATTATTGTTAAAAATTTGGTCACAATTTCTCAAAAGCTGTACAATCGTTTTTTTTTACGAAAATTTAATGCTTAATTTTACTAAACATTTGAAGTATAAAATACCTACTATTTTCTTACATCTTTTTAGGTTCAGAATAAAAAGCTGGAAATTTTAATACAAATTTTATGAATTTTCCTACATTTTGTATAAAGTTTGACAGTCTGATTTATATGGTTTTGGCTAAAGCTTAGACGATGGTTTTGTAGAAAAATAACAAACATAAAAAAATACTTGTAAAACGATGTGAATATTGTTGCAAGGCTCGAACCTTCTGGTTTGGCGACATTTTACAAATGAAAAAGTGTACTATCAAATTCCCATTCAACCAAACTCGTATCTCGCTTGCGAGATTTTCAAGCATGTGAAGACGGACGGTAAACGTTTTAAATTGACATCTCGGTTTTGAAAATCGCACGAACGATACAGATCGGTTAAATATTTAACGTAAACATCTCCGAACTCGATTAAGTAGTGTCAATTCACAAAACGGTTTTTTATCAATAAAAGTTGCCAAAGCACATTAAACATTCTATTGCGAATAATGGTATGATTTTGTCGTATGCAGCTTACAATTTTTTAAGACTATTTTAACTAGTAGTACAATTCATCAAACTGTATGAAAATTGTATCGTGTGTGAAATTTTTGTCACATACAGCAAAATGTTTGACCGAGCAGCTTGCAAACCTGCAAATATATAATATAGAAAAACGAGTAACACCAATCGAAAGATCTTATTTTAAAATATCAAATTGAATCTTTAACTGAAAATCGCCAAAATGGCGCTTACGACAGTATTTTACCCAGGCGACGATGTGTATATATATATACATACATACACACATACACACACACTAATGTAACTTACCATGAAGACTACATCGAATGACACTAGTAAGACAAGTTCTTTGATTAAAGAGTAAATACGACTTTAGATTTCAGAAAGGAAAAAATCCCAAAATATACTACAAAATATGTAGATACATATACGCGTATACTACGTAAATCTATCCATACACAAATGAATACGTGCATAGTGTGCGGATATGTAGACGCGTAATTGTTTGCCTTAGGGAAGAATTGAAAACAAAAAATATTGAAAGTATAAAATATTTAAGTATAGCATAAAACCCTAGACTTGTAAAGTTTTCATAGAAGTGCATGCAAAAACTATAGTTTTTAGTTTAAAAGTAAAAAAAAAACTAAAAACTGACTTCAGAGCAAATATTTGTAAACAAGTACACTTTGAAATGCCTACGATAAATATTTTTGTGTTTAAAAAATTTAACCTAAACTTTGCGAACTTTATTTCGTGTCTATAATGCACTTTTTTTCCTTTATTTGGCAAAGCTGTGATTCTGTACAAAGTCTTAACGATAATATTTTAAACTTTTTCTACTTGCTGCTAACTAAATATTTAATATTTTCCTTTTAAAATAAATCTTAATGCGAAAATTTTGCTCAAATTTTCAGGATAGAATCTATCATCAGCAAGTATGTATTTATTCAAACTTACAAATATACGTAAAATTGTATTTAATTAAAAATTAAAAACTAAATAAAATTAATGAAAATCTAAAAAAAAAAAATAGAAAGCCTGATATGTATACCATATGATAAATAAAAGCGTGGCGTTCACAATGGAATTGTAATAACTTATGTATTTAAAATCATATATTTAAACAGCTGCGAATTTTGAAATATGTAGCATGTGTATGTAAGCTTTTTTTCGCAACGTTCAATTGTAATTTTTGGCGTTATAAACGATTTACATAAATTATTAAAAAAAAAAAAAACAAAATAAAAAAATTTGAATAAAGCTAAATGATCTGAAGTTACACTCAAACTATTGTGTTTTTACCCATAAATTACGAGTACCAAAATTACACAACCCAAGGCGAATTCATACAATGTGCTAGCGGCGGCACAAAAACAAAAAACTACACTATAACCAAGAATCACTATAACAGATTATATACACGACGTCAATCAGAATACAAAAAATACATCATTTTGGGAATCCGCATAATTCGCCTTGAAATCAGCTGCTCCGGTAACTCCACCTTGTATGATCTCGCCTTGGTACAATAACTCGTTTTGGAAGCACCATTTTCATTATTATTTTCCCTTCTCCCCTCTCTTTCCATACAATTCCAGCAGTAAAATGGCCGACTATTTCGAAGACATGGGTCACGAACCGACAGGCGCCGACGGTCCTAATGATTTTGCCAAACATTTCAAGCGCCTGCAAGTGTTGGCCATCATGAACGGCATCGACATGGAAATCGAGGTGCCCGAGGCGTCTAAGCGCGCCATTGCCGCACTGCCGGACCATATCATTACCGCAACAGATGTGGCGCAGGAACTTGAGTGCGCGGTTTGCAAGCAGCCAGCAGAGGTCGATGAGAAGTACAAAATTTTGCCATGCAAGCACGAGTTTCACGAGGAGTGTGTGCTACTGTGGCTGAAAAAGGTACATTTGTTAGATGATTTGCGGTGGTGATGCGTAAGTGAAGTAAGTCTTTGATTTTTATTTTGTTTCGCTTGCAAATTTCAGGCCAACTCATGTCCAATGTGCCGTTACGAATTGGAAACCGATGATCCAGTCTATGAAGAGTTACGCGAGTTTCGCCAAGATGAATCCAATCGTCGCGCTCGACAAGACTACATGATGGACTCAATGTTTTCCTAAATAAATTAAATCTTAATTTTAGTATTATTGAAATGGTGGCAGCGGGGAAAAGGAATATATTTTCGGCGGACAAGGTTTTGAAACTTTCTAAATAAATTGCGTTTGAAAACAAGGGAAGTTGTTTTTTTATGAAAAAAAGGTAAGTTTTCGATTGGAAGTTACAAATTTATATTGCATGGAAATAAAATAATTATGTATATTTTGTCGCTTACACGTTTCTTTCAATTTGTGGTGTGTGTCCTGATGTTAAATCGCAAACGGAGGTGCCAAAATTTATGTACACACATATAATAAAATTCATAGTCTAACTGTTAGAATTGGATTTTTTAATTTTTTGGTCGTGTTTAAATTTAAATTTTATAAATAAAAATATTCGTTAAATGTGCATACATACCATTTGTGGTTTTGTCTATCTGGATGAAAGTATAGGGTGCATTCGAGTAAATGCTGCAGTGTTACTTTTTATGACACAGTATCACGTTCTATGCGAATATTTGGGCGACTGTGCCTACTTTAAGCATTCGAGGAACAAAATTTTGACAATCAGTTACTCATCATTGGCAAATCAAAAGCAAATAAAAATGTTTACTGCCCAATTTCTGCAGCATTTTAGAAAATTTTCAGTCGAGCATCAGCAAAAAGACATCAGGAAAGCAACAAGGCTGCAATATTGCGGTAATTATTACGTAGCTCGAACGCACCCATGGTGGAATTATACAAGGTATTGTACGTAGTGACAGCTCATGTCGACAGCTCCCTTACAAAAGGTTGTAATATGGAAGCACGAGAGAAACGGGAAGAAAAAAAGCCCGCTTTGCGAAGTAGTACGAAATTTGGTACTATTTTTCATATAAAATTTTGCATATAAATAGTTATAAACGGTATATTATGATAAGCTAAATTCGCGAAAGTAGTATATATAACGTAGTACTTATGCAATAAATGGTAATTTAGTTTATTAAACACAATGTCCTATAATTATAGTCAAACTTCCAAAACCAAAAAATTAGTGGTGACCCCGAGTCGTTACAACATGACGGAATCGACAAAAGGGCGCATCGACGGATGGGGAGAATATTTCATCGAACAAAATGCCAACTAAAGATGTGGAGCTTGCATCGCAATGCAAGCTGCGACCGTTCTGAACTGAGATGCCAGACAAATGGTTTCTACAAATTGAGGCCACCTTTCAGTCGTACAAGACCACATCTTATGTCGGTAAATATAATCTGGTCCTCTCAGCAATTAGCAGCGATGCTTTAAAGGAAGCTGCGGATGTTTTAAAAACCTTACCAACTCAAGACCGATATATTAACCTCAAAAGTCAACTACTGTCACGTTTTACTGATTCAGCCGACCCACATAGGGTATTTGGCTGATTTAGGCATATTTTTATCGCTACAAACATCAAATATAGTTTTAGTTATCGAATAAAACATTCACTATAACTACACTGTTACTAATAGAAAATTCAATCGTAGTGAAATCTTATTTATTGTT